TTTGTAATTATTATTATTATTATTATTTTCTATAATTGTGTATTATAATAAAAACAAAATAAAAATTATTAAAATAAGTTTTAATAATGATTGTATAACTGTAAAAAAAAAAAAAAATCCGTTTGTTTGTTTGTTTGTTTTTTTTTTTTGTAATAGTAAAATAATGTCGAGTTTGTTTCGGATTAATTTAAAGTATGTGTGTGCGTATGTATAATTTTTGTAATGAGACAAATTAATTTTAAAAGAAAATAAAAAGAAAAAAAAAATTTTTTTTACATGTTATTTAAAGGTTATGAATGGCTTTACTTTTAATAATGTCGTGCTCAATAAAATGATAAAAATGTTTTTTTTTTTTTGTATTTATTACCTATATAAATTTTTATACGTTTTAATTTAATTTTATTTTGTATTTTTTTCCTTACGTTATTTTTTTCCGTCGGTAATATTCCCGATTTTGTAAAATGTTTTTAAAAAAGATTAAAAACCGTTAAGGAAATGAGTAATAATAATAAACGAATAATAACGTGTTAAATATTATTGCGAGATTTACATTTTAACGATAGCAAAAATCTCGATATATATATATGTAAAAATAAAAGAACGGAAATGGTTAATTAACGGTAGCAAACGTGCACGAGATTCCTGCGTATAACGACGGCTTCGATATTTCGTCGCCATATTCGTTTTATTAAAATCGAGAAAGTGGGTGTTTCGTTAAATTATGCTTTGCAGTTGAGAATTTATGTTAATTCGTTTAAAATGATTCGCTTTTGAATGAAATTTATGACAGAAAACACGTTAAAATTATTTTAATTGCATATTTGTGAAAAAAGTTTATAAACTTTAGTTATTTAAACTGCGCTTACGATAAAAATGGCCGCCAGTGATCAATCGGGTGACGATTCCCTATATCCTATAGCTGTATTAATTGATGAACTTAAAAATGAGGATGTTCAGGTAATTGAAATATATTTATTATTATTATTAATGAGCGTGAAACTTATTTCTCATTACGAAATATGTTGTAATTTTATTTTTTTTTTAATAACTTTGTTTAAATTTTTCCTAGCTTGGGTTAAAGCCAAAATTTTGAATTTTAGATTTCTATTGAATTATTCAAAACCGGTATTTTAGTTATAAGACTTACAAAAATTTATGAAAAAGCGTTTTTTTTTTTTTAAATTTAAATAAAATGAATATTTATAATTATGGTTTTTTGTTTGCCTGCTAATTTGGAATACTAATTGTTGGTTTATTTTTCAAGTGTCAATCAAACATGCAATTTTATTATTGTTACTTAAATACAAAGAAAAAGAAAAAAACTGCTTTATTGTAAATTTTTTTTAAATAATATAAAATTTATTTTACTTTGAAAAGTTTAAACATTTGCTTTGTAATCAGTTGACCCATTTTATACTACTGATTTAGAAGTAGATTGAGGCTGGTTTTCAAGTATGAGTTAATTATTTCAGTAAGAAAGAAGAAAACTTCGAAATTATTTAGCATTTGGTTTTAAAGTTTGTTTTAATAAACATATTTTGATTTTAGTTGAGGTTAAACTCTCTAAAAAAGCTTTCAACCATAGCACTTGCACTGGGTGTAGAAAGAACAAGAAGAGAATTAATTCCTTTTTTGACAGAGACAATTTATGATGAAGATGAAGTATTATTAGCTCTTGCTGAGCAACTTGGAAATTTTACTAACCTAATAGGTGGTCCAGAATATGTTCACTGTCTTCTGGTGAGTTTTTAAAACTGCAATTAATCAAAAAAATTTTTTTTTTTTTTTTTGACTGTGTGTCGTTAATTTAAATAAATTGAACATGTTTTTAGCCTCCACTCGAATCTTTGGCTATGGTTGAAGAAACAGTTGTAAGAGATAAAGCTGTTGAATCATTGAGAATTATCTCGGCACAGCATAGTCCGAGTGATTTGGAAGCACATTTTGTACCTCTGGTTCAAAGACTTGCTGTGGGTGATTGGTTTACTTGCAGGACATCTGCATGCGCCCTATTTTCTGTTTCTTATCCAAGAGTGAGTTCTGCTGTTAAAGCAGATCTGAGATCTCATTTTCGAACACTCTGTCAAGATGACACTCCAATGGTACGTCGAGCAGCAGCTTGTAAATTAGGAGAATTTGCCAAAGTTGTCGAATTGGAATATCTCAAGTGTGAATTGATTCCAATGTTTGTGTCTTTATCCCAAGATGAACAGGTATGAACCCTATAAATTGAAATTAATTTATGGTGTCTTTTATTAAGTTCTTTACATTTAATCATTAAATTTTTTTTTTTTTTGGCAAAAGGATTCAGTGAGGTTACTCGCAGTTGATGCATGTGTTACAATTGCAACATTATTACCCCAAGAAGATGTCGAGCAACTAGTTATGCCTACTCTTCGTTTGTGTGTGGGTGATACTTCTTGGAGGGTCAGGTACATGGTCGCTGATAAATTCACAGAACTTCAAAAGGCTGTTGGTAAGGAAAAGGAACATGCACGATTCTCGAAATTATTCCTTTTTCAATCAATTTAAATTTGTAATTTTAAATTTAAGGTCCGGAAATCACTAAAACAGATTTAGTTCAAGCTTTTCAAGCTTTATTGAAAGATGTAGAGGCAGAGGTACGAGCAGCAGCGGCCAATAAAGTAAAAGATTTTTGCCAAAATTTGGATTCAGCCCAACAGGAAGCAATTATCATGAGCAATATTTTGCCATGTGTTAAAGAATTAGTAGCAGATCCTAATCAACACGTGAAAAGTGCTTTAGCAAGTGTTATTATGGGTCTCAGTCCGATTCTTGGTAAACACAAGTAAGTAGTAGTTATTCAAAGAGCTTCCTGTCCTTCCTGTAATAAGCCTGAAATTTTGATTAGATTCACAATAATGAATGATGAAGGTTAATTAAAATAACTTAAACGATAAAAGAATGTAATCAATTAACATTCATTTGTTATATGAATGAATAGAAAGAAAGAAAAAAATTCTTCTCGATTGTTGTTGTCGTCGTCTTATTTAAATATCCGTTATTAATTATTAATTGTTGTTGTTTTTTTTTTTTTTTTTTTTAATTTCAGCACAATCGAGCATTTGCTGCCACTATTTTTATCTCAACTAAAGGACGAATGCCCGGAAGTTCGTCTTAATATCATTTCGAATTTGGATTGCGTAAATGAAGTCATAGGAATTCAACAGTTGTCGCAATCATTACTTCCAGCTATTGTAGAATTAGCAGAAGATTCAAAATGGCGCGTCCGTTTGGCTATTATTGAATATATGCCACTGCTAGCGGGTCAACTTGGCGTTGAATTTTTCGATGAAAAATTAAATTCTTTATGCATGACTTGGCTCGTGGATCACGGTAATGAGCTGTTAAATAATAAAAATTTTTTTTGAAAAAAAAAAAAAAAATTAATTATCGCTTACCGATTGTAATTGAATTTTTTTTTTGTTTTTTGTTGCGTTACTCAAGTCTACGCCATAAGAGAGGCTGCTACGTTGAATCTAAAAAAATTAGTTGAAAAATTCGGTCCTGATTGGGCGCAAAACACGGTCATACCAAAAGTGTTAGCCATGTCACGCGATCAAAATTACCTCCACAGAATGACGTGTTTGTTCTCCGTCAACGTTCTCGCTGAAGCTTGCGGAGCCGACATAACGGCCAAGCACATGCTTCCGACGGTCATAAACATGGCTGCCGACAATGTACCTAACGTGAGATTTAATGTAGCTAAAACTCTACAAACCATCGGACCGATTCTCGATCAAAAGTAATTGTTTTATCATTATTATTATTATTATTATTGTTTCCTCGTAAAAGAAAAGCGATAGGGTGATGATAATAATATTAATAATTAATCAATTGTTTTTTTTCCAGCGTAATTCAATCTCAAATAAAACCCGTATTAGACAAATTGAATGGAGACAATGATGTCGACGTCCGATATTTTGCATCCGAAGCAATTGCTGGAATAGCAG